ACGACGCCGAGATCGAAGATGAATGTAACAAGTCGATATATATAGGTCGGTGCCCTTTAGTCCCGGTGGTAACACCAATGGGACTAAAGGTCATTAATCTACCTGGTAATCTCAACCGGGACTAAAGGCTCAACCCTTTAGTCCCGCTCTCTAAAGCCGGACTAAAGGGTTTTAGTCCCGTTGGTGTTACTAGCCGGGACTAAAAGTATTTTGGGCAGCACCGAAATTGCCGCGCACCCTTTAGTCCTGGTTCTTGGTCCGGGCCGGGACCCAAGGCTCGAAAATTTTGCCAACCCGCCAAATGCTTTTGGAAAGACACAGGATTTTGATTTTGTTTAATACTAGGTTAATCAATTAATTCCATAGCAACTTCAATACTTTGCAATATTTATTTTAAAAAATTCTATTGATTAACTAATTATTTATTGTAAATAGGAAAATTTTGTAACCTAAAGTTTTTAATTTCTTTTATGAATATAGAATATAAATGTGACTAATACTAAGTATTTTGTTAATGCAAAATATATTTGTAACTTAAAATTAATAAAACTAATATTATTCGATAGGAAATTTATTATCACATTATTGTAACGTCAATGTTTCAATTTTTTCTCGGTTTTTGACCAAAATTGACAGAAATTTTTTGTTGAACCTATAAAAATAGAGAAAATGTAGTATTTTTGTTCTACAACTTTTTCAAATGAAAAATGGTCTATATAAGGATTGTAGATATTGATGATATGAACAAACTTGGTATTCAAAACTTTTCAATTTTAGACAATCTAGGGTTCCAAAACTAGTTTGTAGGCGCTCAAAATTTAAAATCACAAATTTGAACCGTCCCAAACTTTCTCAAATGGAAAGTTGACCTAAACAACAATTGTAGATCTTTTGAGTTTAACAAACTTGGTATTCAAAACTTTTCAATTCGAAGTAATTTAGAGTCCATAATACTAGGGTCAAAGTGTTGTTTTTTCATTTGACCAAATTTGACTTGGTCAAACTTGCTCAAATGAGACACTAAATGACCTCAGATGAAAAAACTCTGAATACCAAGTTTGATCATCTCAGCAAGATCTACAATTGTTACATAGCTCATTTTCCCATTTGAGAAATTTTTATCAAACACTAGTCACAATTTTCCTTATCTCTTATAGACTTTCTAAAACTATGTCACACACTTGTGAAAATTGAACTACATTTTGTTCAAGCTTTCTCAAATGAAAAATGGTCTATATAAGGATTGTAGATATTGATGATATGAACAAACTTGGTATTCAAAACTTTTCAATTTTAGACAATCTAGGGTTCCAAAACTAGTTTGTAGGCGTCAAATTTAAAAATCACAAATTTGAACCGTCCAAACTTTCTCAAATGGAAAGTTGACCAAAACAACAATTGTAGATCTTTTTGATTTTAACAAACTTGGTATTCAAAACTTTTCAATTCGAAGTCATTTAGAGTCCATAATACTAGGGTCAAAGTGTTGTTTTTTCATTTGACCAAATTTGACTTGGTCAAACTTGCTCAAATGAGACACTAAATGACCTCAGATGAAAAAACTCTGAATACCAAGTTTGATCATCTCAGCAAGATCTACAATTGTTACATAGCTCATTTTCCCATTTGAGAAATTTTTATCAAACACTAGTCACAATTTTCCTTATCTCTTATAGACTTTCTAAAACTATGTCACACACTTGTGAAAATTGAACTACATTTTGTTCAAGCTTTCTCAAATGAAAAAATGGTCTATATAAGGATTGTAGATATTGATGATATGAACAAACTTGGTATTCAAAACACGACCCTTGTTGGGTCCCTGTCTCTTGACTCGGTACTCCATCACAATCTTCTGCTTACACTTGCCGCAGATAATGAGAGGGAGTTCTGGCCTCAGTCGTTTCGCAACCGAACGAGAGGCCGAGGATCCAGTAACAGTTGTCATCTACTTTCTATACTTATTTTTGCAAACTAGTGTAAATTTCATATTTTCAAATATCCATCAAATTATAGCTCAAAAACATGTTTCAATAAATAACCATCCGTACTAGTTGACCTTGCTTACGTGATCATCTCGTGCGAGCATTTCTCCACGGGACGGCACCGCATTTGGCCAAGGAAGAGCTCCGATTCTACGAGAAAGGAACACGGTCTTCCATGACCGCTGCCGCTCTCCCTCGTAGAATCAAAGCTCCTCTTTGACGTCCGCTTACCGCTTCGGCAGAGAAAATGCTCACCGAGATGATCACGGTCCGCAAGTTCAACTAGTACGGATTTTCTACAATTTTCTAACTATTTTCTAAGTTTTTCATTTCATGGAAAAATTAATTCTAAGATCACGTAAGCAAGCCGGGACGAGGGATGGCGCGTGCTCCAAATGAGGACGAAGCGAGGCGTGATTTTGATGAACTAATTTAACTTTTGTTTATCCAAACATATATGCAAATCATCATGTGATTTTGAGCTAAAAATGACATATAAAATCATAATAAAGTTCAACATATAAAGTTACACATGCATCTACATCGCAAAATGAGATAAGCTACCGATAAAACATAAGAGGATTAAGTTTGTTACCTCCAAAATCAAAAAGCAACACCAATGGAGGGGAGAGAGCAAGAACAACAACAAAGTCAAGAAGAGGCAAAGGAGTTTGAATGGAATGGCTCGGGCTCGGGGAGGAAGAAATGAGCCGTTGTATAGGCCAATATAATTAGTCCCGTTAGGTGGCCAAACCGGGACTAAAGATTAATATTTATTCCCGGATATCACCCAAACCGGGACTAAAACCTTGACTAAAGCTCCGGTTGGCGATACCAGCTAGGGACTAAAGATCCCGCGACTGCGAGGGGATCTTTAGTCCCGTTGTTATCTAACCGACTAAAGGGTCCTTTAGTCCCGGGGGCAAAAAATGCCGAGGCTAATGTTAAATTGGGACATCGTTCTAAAGTCTGTTCTCTAGTAGTGGATATCTCCAAGGCGTTCGACACGGTTGGCTGGACATTCCTACTAGACACGTTGTGGGTGTTCGGATTCGGGGACAACTGGCCAGATGGGTAGCCACGATGCTATCCTCGGCCACGTCACGGATCCTGCTAAACGGACGTCCTGGGAAGCCGATCACGCATAGACGGGGAGTCCGCCAATGCTGTTCATCATTGCCATGGAGCTATTCGCAAGGTTGGTGGCCACAGCAGTCGAGGATGGGATCCTCCGGCCGATTGGTACACGTACTCGTCATCCGGCACCACTGCAGCCTTTACGCTGACGACGCAATCATCTTCATGCACCCACGCCCGGCGGAGGCAAGGACGATAAGAGAGATTCTTCGGATCTTCGGAGATGCTTCCGGGTTGAGAACCAACCTCGGAAAATGCTCAATCACGCCGATCCACACTGAGGACAACCTTCAATAGCTAAAGGAGATACTCGGCTACTAGCTGGCTAACTTCCCATCACCTACCTCGGCCTACCGCTCAGTCGGCGGTTGACGCGGTGGCTCGCAGGCTGCTAGCCTGCCACGGACCGCTAATGAACAAGAGCGGAAGGCTAATCTGGGTCAAGTCAGTCCTATCAGCGGTCCCGATCTTCACGCTGATTGCGGATGGGCTGCCTCCCTGGGCAATCGAAGAAATCAATAGCATCTGCCGGAGATTCCTATGGACCGGGAAGGAAGGCTCCGTCCTGGGGAAATGCATGGTAGATTGGCCGACCGTCTGCAGACCCACGGACTTGGGATCCCCGACTTACACTTACACCTCACCACCATCGTACGTCCTACAGGCACGGTGGCTGTGGCTCCAGCAGGCTGACGATCGAGGGCCGCGCATGGTCGGAACTACCGCTCAAGGTCACGATGGAGGTCCAGGACTTCTTCAACATGTCCACGTACACCATCCTTGGAAATGGACGCTCCACCGCGTTCTGGACGGGTAGATGGATTCACGGGCAAGCGGTCCGGGATATAGCGCCGTCCTTGCTGCTGTTCGTAAGCCGCAGGGACAACCACAGTGGCACGCGGATTGGACGGTCGAGCTTGGATCCGGCAAATCACCGTAGGCATCCCCGACGCCCGACCCGGTCGTGGGAGAATATCTGAGGCTTTGGGACATGGTGGACCAAGTGCAACTGAGCGCGATCGCATTATCGTCTGGCGATGGACGGCCGACAGACTATGTTCCTCCAAGTCAGCTTATAGGGCCCTACTGATGACGTCGCACCCAATCCCGGGTTGCGACAGGATCTGGAAGACACGGGCACCGCTGCGAGTGAAAATATTCCTCTGGCTTGCCATCCGGGGACGACACTGGACGCTGACGACGCTTGCTACCTCTGCGACCAAGAGCTAGAAACGATCGACCACATCATCGCGTCATGCTCGTTCTCCAGGCAGATATGGTGGACTATCTTGGCAGTCCTGGGCGTCGACGCTTCACAAATAGGTGGACCGTCCATTCTCACCTGGTGGGCACAATGGCGACGAAGATGGCAAGGCGATAAGAAGAAAGGCGCGGATACCTTATTCGCCTTGGTGGCTTGGGAAATATGGGAGGAAAGGAACGCAAGATGCTTCCGCAGCGTCCCATCCACAGCCAACCGCCTGCTATCCACCATCATGCAAACCGCCGACCAATGGGTCGAGGCCGGGGTATGTAAACTCCGTTGTCTCTTGCGTGAGTAGTCCGTTAGAACGATCCTTTAGGGAGAATGCGCTTATTGTAATATCCCAACCACCCAAGCGCGCTACGGTGCTGTTGTAAAAAACTCTCTCCTTAAATACAAAGATGCACAAATCTTTCACGTATTCGAGAAAAAAAAAATTAGGAGTCACATTTCAAAAAGTCAAAACAACTTGCAATACAAAACTGCAGTGCGATTCGGTCTTTCACTTACTAACATCTGAGTTGTTCATCATTTGCACTGATAATCTTCGCCTCCGTCGGGATCTGGGAGAAGAGAGAGGGAGGAGTCTGGAGGTTGAACAAGCTTGGCGAATGATGGGGGGCCCCTCCCAGCGTCGTTCCTGGGCGGATCTGGCGGAGGGCGAGCTTCGGGCGGAGGCTGCCGACCTGCAGTGGGAAGATGTCCTCGGCCGTGGTCCTGTGGAGCGTGTGGCTCTCAGTGACTCGGAGGACTATCCCGATTCTGATGTGCCCGAGTCGCCGCCGCCGCCGCCGCAGGGGAAGGGGAAGAATGTGATGGAGACTGCTGGTAAGCGTCAGCGGGCGCGTCGTCATCGTCACAGCAAGCGCCGCACGGAGGGATTCATGGCGGCCGTGCGACGTTCCCACCCGGCCGTGGTGCCTGATCTGCCGCCCCCACCGCCGCGGCGTGCTCTGGTCCGGGGCGGGAGGTCCCCGCCGTCGCACCCTGCGCGGCCTCGGGGACAGCCGGACCGGGAGGGGTTCTTCCAGGTGCGTTCTAGGCGCTGCGACAGGCGCCACAGTCCTCCAAGGTCGCCGCCGAGACCCGTCCCACCGGAGCTGGAGGGCTTGTGCTTCAACTGCCTCCAGCCGGGCCATGTCAAGGCGCAGTGCCGCGCCAGGCCGAGATGCTACAACTGTTGGGGCGAGGGCCACCACGCTGCGAGCTGTCCACTCCCCCGCTCCTCGGCTGTTGGGGTGAAGCGTGGCCGCTCCCTGCGGCGGTCTGGGGATGCTCGCCGGGTCGCGCCGCGACGCCCGGATGGTGCGCGCCATCGGCCCAACTCGGCGGACACCGTCTCCGGGGGTTCGTTGTCAGCAGGGCGGTCCACGTCGGTGCCTTACTGCTGTCGGCATCCATCGCCACCGGCTGCGCCGTCGCCGCCCCCACCACCTCCGCCTCCACCTCCGCCGCCTCCGCCACCTGTCTTCCAGCCCGCCGCCGGCACCAGCTCGGAGTTTGACAGGGGCTCCAGAAACCTTGCCGACCCTGCTATTCGGGACCCGCGCGCGCCCACGGTGGTTATCCCGCGTTCCAGGGAGATCCAGGCGGCCGAGGATGCGCTTGAGCTGGCCCTGGTGGGCCTGGTGGGGGGCACCAGGCTGGTGGTTTCTACGACCACAGTCTACAGCTTCCTCTACTCTGAGTTTGAGCTTACGATGAACGATGTGGAGTTGCGGCGGCACCACCCGGAAGATTTCATCGCACGTTTCCGCCGGCGTGCGGACCGTGACCGTGTCCTTGCTTCGCGGCCGGGTGGATACCTTCTGCCCCTCACCTGGAGACCTTGGCAACGAACTTCACTGGCCACTGCAGAAAGCTTCAATTTTCAGGTGGTTGTGGGCATGCTGCGTGTACCGCTTCACGCGCGCAATGTGGCTACTGCCCAGATCATCATGGGCCCTTCTTGCTCGGGGATTGAAATCACAAGGCTTCGAGACATACCTGATGACGACGACCGAGAATTCTTTGTCAAGGCATGGTGCAAACATCCGGATCTCATCGAAGACGAGCAGACCATCTCAATTCCGGAGCCTGTTTTGCCTATTGCAGCTATGGGCAATCCTGCCCCGCCACGCCTCTTGCAGTACCAGGTTAGGATCAGGGTGGTCGCCTTCTAGGATTGGACCACACCCCCTGCCTCACCTGGTGATGATGATCGTAATGATGATAGTGATGGCCCTGATGATGGTCGTGCTGATGATAACTTTCAAGACTGGGGGGAGCATTGGCCAATACCGCGGCGCGATAGTGATGATGACTCCGGTGATAGCAACTGTAATAATTATCACCCAACATGCTACTACCCACCAGAGGAAGCGGGTGGACGTGATCCATCCATGTCTGTGCAGGTGGGCGAGTTCAGATGCCCCTGTGCGCCGGAGGTCGTTGCTCGGCACACTGATGTTGATGGCACGCGCAAGGAGTCTGTGGAGGCTCCCGAGTGTTGGGAGATGATGTCTGCACCGCGTACTCCTTGGACGCGGGCATCAAATTTTACGACGGTCAACACTCCATCACCGTGGATTGATAGGCAGCTGGGCTCCCCTACCACCGGCGTCGTGGCGCGGTTCCTGAACGTCGCGCCACTGCTCCTCCACGCGGGTGTTTCAACACTCGAACCTGTACATGTTGATCAGGACTGGTGGGCTGATCTGGCGGTGACTGAGCTTTCAAATGATGTCAGTGCTCAAGCGTGTGTTGGTCAGGAGGGGGCCACTTCCGGGTCGACCTCGAACTCGGTGGACTGGTGGGCGGACCTGATTGAGGCTGAACTTGTCTCCAGCACATATGTTGCGGCCAGCCCAGTTGTTGATGGGGCTGGACTTCATGAGGAGGATGAGAGCGCTGTGGAGGAACCTGTTTCTGTAGTGGATGCGGCCAATGATGCGGCCACTGTCATGGATGCGGCAGCCGCTAGATAGGCTGCGCTAGAGGCGGAGGTGTGCGTCCCCATGCACACGCCCCTGATCCGCGCGGGACCTAGGCCTTGGCGGGCGCGAACGCCGGTCTCCATCCCGTCGCTGCGACGGAGTGGCAGGATCGCAGCAAGGCCAAGGGCACCAAATGCAACGGTGCAGGCGCAGCTGCTGCTCCTTAAGAAGCTGGGAGTCGCTGTGGCGGAGGGTGAGCATGCCTCTGAGGTTGAGAAGAAGATCAAGATGGCATTCAGGGGAGATATGTCGACCAGGAAAAGGGAGGCACTACAACTCTTCCTTGAAAATGGAATTGACCTGACAACTGTGGACCTAAACCTCCATGGTCTGGAGGACGCGGCGCTCTGAGCGCTGCCATCACACACGGATGTCGCCCAATTGGTTATCCAATGTCGACGACCTTCAGTTGCTTCGTCTGGAACGTCCGCGGTCTCAATGATCGCGCACGTCGTAATGTGGTTCGCGAATTGCTGCTGCTGCACAAGCCGTCGTGTGTGTGTATCCAGGAGACCAAACTCTCCAGCTTATGTAATTTGCTTGCGAATGAAATTCTAGGACCTACTTTCGATTATGACTTCCTACCCGCGACTGGGGCGGCTGGCGGGATCTTACTGGCCTGGGTTAGGGACGATTGGGTTGTCTCTGATATTAACAAGGGACGCTTCGCCATCTCAGCTCGCTTTCAGAAGAGGGGTGCCACGTCGACGCCATGGTGGCTAACTGGGGTCTATGGACCGCAGGAAGACGCCCAGAAGGTCGAGTTCTTGGCGGAGTTGAGGCAATTCCGTGACACTTCGCCTGGGCCATGGTTAATATGTGGAGATTTCAACATGATTTATCGTGCCCAGGACAAGAACAACGACAGGCTTGATCGTCGAAACATGGCAAGATTTAGAAGATTCATTGACAGTGTACAGGTGCAAGAAATCAACATGGTTTGCAGATCTTTTTCCTGGTCTAATCACAGGGACAGACCAACGTTCGAGCTGCTGGACAGGGCCTTCACCTCTGTAGGCTGGCTTACTGAGTTCCCCTCACACACTCTAAGGCCTCTGTCCTCTGAATGTTTTGACCACTGCCCGCTGCTGCTCACGATCATTGCGTTCTATGATGTCCAGCGCCGTTTCCGGTTTGAGACTTTCTGGACAAAGATACTAGGCTTTTCTGGTGTGGTGGAGAGTGCCTGGTCTTCAACGGTTGAGGGGGCTGATCCATTTCGAAGATTAGACCAAAAATTTCGCAAGGTTGCCATTGAGCTACGTCGATGGAGCAACTCCAAGGTGGGTAGCATTCGGCTGCAGCTTGCTGTGGCTCGCGAGCTCATATTCCGGTTTGATGAAGAGCAGGAGAGGCGGAATCTGCATGACTGGGAGCTAAACATGTACAGGTCCCTCAAGGCCAAGACCTTGGGCCTGGCCTCGCTCGCGCGGACAATCACAAGGCAGCGCTCTAGGATCCTTTTCCTGAGGGAGGGTGATGCCAACACGAAGTTCTATCATTTGCAAGCCTGCCATCGGCGGAGGCAGAACAGGATTGACACACTTCGGGTACAGGGGGCCCAGGTTGTCTCCGATATATCCATGAGTCAGGCTCTCTATGATTACTATAATGGGCTTCTGGGAACCAACTTTGAGAGGTCCAGGTGCATTAACATGCATGTAATTGGCGTACCCTCTTTTCAGCTGCTTGAGTTGGAGGGGCTGTTTTCTGAGGATGAAGTGTGGAATGTGATCAAAGACCTACCAAATGAAAAGGCGCCAGGTCCGGACAGTTTCACTGGACTCTTCTACAAGCTGACCTGGGAAACGACTAAGGGAGACATCATGCATGCGTTCAACGCCTTCTGGTCGCTTGATTTCAGAAGCCTGTACCACTTAAATGATGCTTTTATGGTATTACTGAAGAAGAAGGACCACACACAAGAAATCAGGGACTACCGCCCCATCATCCTTATACACAGTTTTGGCAAGCTTCTAACTAAATGTATGGCTAACCGGCTTGCGAAGGTGCTAGACCAATTGGTGCAAGGCAACCAGAGTGCGTTCATCAAGGGACGGAGTATACATGACAACTTTCGGGATGTACAATTGTCGTGCAAGGAGCTACACAGGCGGCGTTCTACTTGTGTCCTGCTCAAAATTGATGTGGCAAAGGCGTTTGACTCGGTTGCTTGGGTTTTCCTGCTTGAGGTGCTCCAGCGCATGGGTTTCGGCTTGAGATGGAGAAACTGGATTTCCGCTATTCTGTCGACGTCAAGCACCAAGATACTCCTTAATGGACGCCCAGGGAGGAGGATCTGCCATTCTCGGGGGCTGCGTCAGGGGGACCCCCTGTCGCCGATGCTTTTCGTCCTTGTGATGGAGGTGCTAAACCATCTTCTTGGCTGGGTGGAACGACAGGGGTTGCTGACACCCATCGCTGAATTACATGGCTCCCGTGTTAGCCTATATGCTGATGACTTGGTCATGTTCGTAGTGCCAAATGAACAGGACCTGCTAACTGTCAAAGCGGTGCTGGGAATTTTTGGTCTTGCTTCGGGTCTTTTCTCCAACCTGGACAAAAGTATTGCCACACCTATACACTGCTCAGAAGACGATATAGCAAGGGTTCAGGGAGTACTGTCCTGTACAGTTCAAATTTTCCCATGCAAGTACCTTGGAATTCCACTGTCAGTCTACAAACTCAAGCGCTCTGAGGAGCAGTACATCATTGACAAAGTGGCTCAGCGAATCCCAGGCTGGAAAGGAAATTTGCTCAATGTAGCTGGCAGAACGGCGCTTGTCAAAGCTACCCTTTCGGCCATCCCGATTCATACTTCCATCGCCCTTTGCTTGTCACCTTGGGCAATTGGCATGATTGATAAGCTGAGACGGGCATTCGTGTGGGCAGGAACTGATAAGGTTGCTGGTGGTCTTTGCAAGGTGGCATGGGGGCGGGTCTGTTTGCCCAAGGAGTTGGGTGGCCTGGGTATCTCGGACCTGAGGCGTGTTGGCATTGCGCTACGTGTACGATGGGTCTGGCATGATCGCCGACTCGGACGCCGGCCGGCGACCAAGGAGAAGGCGGCTCTGGCACTTTTCCAGGTGGCCACTGTCCTAAACCTGGGAAATGGTCGGTCAACGTACTTCTGGACGGACAAATGGATCAGGGGGGTCAACATCGAGTCCTTTGCACCGACCGTGTTCGCTGCTGTGCGCGCAAGGAACAAGATGGCTACTGTCGCCGAGGCCTTGGATGGGAGTGCTTGGGTCCGGCACATTGCTGCACCGCCCTCTCTGCAGCTTCTGCTCGAAATCGATCTCATTTGCGACCTCATCGATGATGTGCAGTTATCACAGGAACCTGACACGTTCACTTGGAGACTGACCGCTGATCGATCCTACTCAGCAGCTTCAGCCTACGGTGCCATGTTCCTCGGATCCTCACCGGTTCTTGGCGCCAAGCAGATTTGGAAGACGCCGGCTCCGCCGAAGGTTCGCTTCTTCTTCTGGTTAACCATGCACGGGCGCTGCTGGACTGGTGATCGCCGCTTCCGCCACGGCTTGCAACCCTCCAACGATTGCATCATGTGTGATCAAGAACCTGAAACGATGGATCACATTCTAATTGGGTGCAGCTTCAGTAGGGAAGTTTGGCACATTTGGTTTGCAAGAATTTGGCTGCAGGTGCCTTCAGCTGATGATGGAGAGGCAGCTCTGGAATGGTGGTTGCGGTCTAGAAAGACAGTTCAAAAATCGCTGCGACGTGGCTTTGATTCACTTATTTTCCTGGTGGGCTGGATGTTGTGGAAAGAAAGGAACTCCTGCACCTTTAATGCTGTTGCATCCACGCCTGGGCTGCTGGTTCTCGCGATGCAGGAGGAGGCCGAGCGCTGGTGCTCGGCAGGGAACAGATGCCTGGGGCTGATCTTGGCGAGGTTGTAGTTCGTTTTGCCCTTTGTCGCAAAATTTGCTAAAATGTAATCTTTGGTTGTGAATCCAGTAGTGCTAGGTTTTGGTAACCATGTCGTTACCATGGCTTGTTTTCAAAACTCTATCTGCTTAATGAAATATGCGCTACGGCGTGTTCTCAAAAAAAACATGTGGGGGGCTTGGAAGAACGGAGGTGTGCCGTGTGCTTCATCCAACTTCAGTCGTACGAGAAAGAGAGCAACATTTGCTCTTGAGAACAGAGGAAGACAATAGACAATGACGGTGGTTATGCTGTCACGCAGAGTTGCCAACTTGCCATCGGCCTTCGCCGACAAATGCATCCTGCAGAAAGGAAGCCACGTCTTCGTTGACGTGGCCGACGTCCCCGGACCTGGAGTTGGCAAGGATCCAATGGCGGTGGCTGCCGGAGCTATGGATCACGCTGATTCAAGCGTTGGCTCTATAGCTCTCGAATCGCGCATCCGAGGAGGAGGAGGATGGCTGTTCTCCGGCCAGCTAGCCTAGCCTCCCTCCTCGCTAGTCCTCCACTCCTCCTCCATGGCTACTTGCCTGTTTCACAATGCCGCAGTTTCGAGATGCAGCACCAGAGGAAGATCAGCAGAGGATTTTTTCTTTTCCGGATTTGGAAATATGTTTTCATCAGTAACCATGCTATACCAGACCATGTTTGATTTAGAACTGCACACAAAACAAATGATCAGCATACTTATAACGGGCAATGCTCGCATTGCATGCATAATAATATTATAATAATACCCCATGAATAAGAAACATCAAAACATTGCAGTTTTGCATACCGTCCTGAAAGAGGTGAAATGACTTCTAAAGCAATGTATTATATGAAAGACAAAAAGTACAGTTACTGCAGTTTCACCAAGGAGACTTAGGGCGTGTTTGATTTTTGAGCCCAGCAAGGCCTTGCCGGCGAGCCAGGCCCAGACCAGCCATGGCCTGGCCCGACTCACACAAGGTGGGTTGTTTGATTGCATTGCATCACAAGGACCCGGCCCATGCCTTTTTTGTATTTGATTTTCATCCTGGAGCTTGGCCCAACCCCAACTACCATCAACTACCACTTTGAGATGGTGTTTGATTCGGGCCAAGTCAACATGGGCCAAGAAACAGCATAAGCAACAGATTTTGACATGAACATGAAGAATACAAGTTTCACAACTGCAGTTTTTGAAATTCTAGACACACACAACAACAAAACACTAAGAAATTATATGAGCATGGCCTCAGACATAGTCCAAACAAATTGTCCACAGTTTTAGATATGGAAATGACAAAAATCACAGAGGTTCATTGTCATCATCGACCATAGAACAAGCTCAATTACAAGAGCAACACTTTGATAGCCTGTTCCAAAGAACAAACACCAACACCACAAGAGTGATAATGATCACATTCTTACCAGAACCATCATTTCCATGACTTGGTGCCATTGGCACTGGTTGAGTCATGGTTCGAGCCTGGATCTGCCTAACAGTACCCATCTTAAGTGCATTATTGTAATCTTGCACAGCCTGATCATGGTTTTTGTAACTTTTGTACCGAGCATGTTCAACCCCCAAGAACATACAAACTGCACTCATACCAGGAAGTGTAGATTCTAGGTTTCAGTCTAAAAAACCACATACCATTTAGCCATTGGTCTGCATCAATATGAAAAAAATCCTCAGTCAATAGTTTTTGACATCATAGGATAGCAAATTAATATAGGCCTCAGTTAATGGCAAGATACATGAATCATAGGTAGCTGCATTGCAAGAAAAAAGAGCAAATAACAGAACTGAACTAACTCATGAAGGTCATGTAGCCGTGCCCAGAACCATTCCCTGCCATCACTTAGCATTGAACTAGTGTTGCAAGGGACTGGTCCTGTCCCACAGGTTCCTGACAGTCATGAAAAAAAGCATCAAGACAGATAAAAAAAGGACATGCAGCTACCTCATCAGTAGTAAAAAAAATATACATCATCGGCCATTATCCATCAGTACCATCAGATCTTAGCATCCACAACATCCCATATCAGTGAAAACCTTGCCAAAAACAACAACAACAGCTTACCAATGTTGTTTACATATTGTAATCAAGCATTGGTCTCAGACTTAGCATTCAAATATTACATAAGCAATACACCACATGAGTTCCATATCCAGGGTCTACAAACTTATTTTACACATGAATGAAATGCAACAAAATCAAGTCCTAGAAGTCCCTCTAGCAGCCCACATAGCATTGCAAATCTCATCCCTCACATCAACCATATCAGGTGAGTCAAGAGGCACCTCTCCCTCCTCTTCTTCAGGCAGTGTACCCACAAACCCTTCCTCCACTGGAACAATCTCATCAACACCAAAGCCAATGATCCAGTTGTGTAGTATGCAACAAGCAAGCACAAGCTTGACTTGGGTCTTATACTTGTGGAAAGATTTGTTGTCTAAAATTCTGAATCTGCCCTTAAGTGCACCAAAGGCCCTCTCCACTACAACCCTGAGTGAAGAGTGCCTAAGGTTGTATAGCTCCTTTGCATTGGTGGGGAGGTTTCTGTTTCCATACTCACTCAAGTGGTACCTAACTCCCCTATAGGGAGGTAGGAAGCCACTTCTGCATGCATACCCAGCATCTACCAGGTAGAATTTACCTACAAGTGGTGGATAAGTAGTGTGAAACTGTGTACTGGGTGGAAGGACATGAGTGCATAATCTTGGTAGTGCATTTACCTGCTGGGACAGTGAACCCATCATCTCTCTGAATGGCATCAGCCAGGATTTGTGCATCATGGGCTGAGCCCTCCCAGCCAGTTAGAACATAGGTGAATTTTAGGTCAAAGCTCACTGCAGCCATCACATTCTGGGTGAGGCTTGATTTCCTACCCCTGAAGGCTTGCTGCATGTGTCTAGGCACCCTTGCCAACATATGGGTGCCATCAATGGCACCAATGCAATTCTACACAAATTATCCAAAGTGCATAAGAGCAAAGTGTAACATGTGATGGTACCTAAGGGAGGTGTACATGATAAACAAGTACCTGTAGAAAAGGGTACCATCTGTGGCTACCCATAATCTTAGGATGTGTGGCAGTGGTAGGAGGCTTGATCATATCAGCCCTTAGCTCACCAACTGCAAACAAGACTTGGTGGAAGATTCTATTCACAGTCTCAATGGACCTCCTAAAGGATTGGTACACAACCCTAAACCTCTGGTTGTGACCAACCACATGAAAAAACATTGCCACCTACTCCTCAACAGGACAGCCAACTGTCTCAGGTACAAGGCCTCTACTTCTAAGCAGGTTGCATAAAGAAAAAAAAGAACCCTTCTCATACGCAGCATGGCTATGCATTCAGCATTATTGTAATTATACATCATCTCGAGTGTCCTCTGTCTATGCCTCTCAGCATGAGTCCTAGGGCCATAAGGGATTATCTCTTCTTGTAGAAGGTAGAGAATCCACACACACTAATGTGGGTGGGGAGCCTTTCATATATATAGCCAATAGGCATACATGGAAGTCACATACATGGGAAGCTATTTCTTGTACAAGGAACTATCCTAGGCTATACATGGCAGCTAGCCTATCTAAGGAAATACCAATCAATCGCTAATTGATCTAGATATATAAATATCCTAATACCCGCCTGCAGTCGTAGCGGAAGCATCACGGACGCATAGACTGGCCCGAAAATTAGTGAAGAGCTGGACGGGTAGACCCTTGGTCATGATATTTGCGAACTAATGCGCAGATGGGACATGGAGAACATGAAACTATCCTAGAGCGACCTTTTCGCGGACGAAGTGGATGTCGATCTCGATGTGCTTCATGCGGCGGTGGTGGACGGGGTTGGCAGCCTTGTAGATAGCGCTTACATTGTCACAGTAGACAACTGTCGCAAGCGGGATGGAGATGTGGAGCTCCTGTAAAAGCTGACGCAGCCAGCAGCACTCGGCAACAACATGGGCCACTGCTCGGTACTCTGCCTCTGCTTCGGCACTGGAGCGAGACACGGTCGTCTGACGCTTGGAAGACTAGGACACCAGGTTGTCACCGAGGTAGACGCAGAAGCCAGAGGTAGAACGGCGCGTGTCTGGGCAGCCAGCCCAGTCAGCGTCGGAGTAGGCTGTGAGCTGGTCAACGGCACCGGAGCCCAAGTGCAAACCGGCGGACAGAGACCCCTTGACGTAGCGTAGGATACGCTTGATCAGCGCAAGGTGCGGCTCGCGGGGGTCGTGCATGAAGAGGAAGACCTGCTAGACAGCATAAGCCAGGTCCGGTCTTGTTAGAGTGAGGTACTGGAGCGCACCCGCAAGGCTCCTGTACTCAAGGGATTGGCAACTAGGGCGCCCTCTGAGGCGGACAGCTTGGTCCGGGCATCCATAGGAGTAGCTGTCGGATGGCATTCAGCCATGCCAGCACGCTGGAGGAGATCTGCAGCGTACTGCCACTGGGAGAGGAACAACCTGCTGCTGTCCCGCGTCACCGAGATGCCGAGGAAGTGGTGTAAGTTGCCGAGGTCCGTCATGGCGAACTCCGAGTGAAGGCGTGAAGTGACATGCTAGAGAAGGGCCGGTGACGACGCGGTGACGATGATGTCATCAACGTAGAGGAGGAGGTAGGCCATGTTGTCGCCAGCCTTATAGACGAACAGGGAGGCATCCGACTTGGAGGTGGTGAAGCCGATGCTGCAGATGAAGTTGGAGAAGCGCTGGTTCCAAGCACGCGGCGCCTACTTAAGTCCATACAAGGACTTTTGCAGCAAATAGACAGAGTTAGGAGCAGCGGGGTCGACGAAGCCTTTTGGCTGCTCGCAGTAGACCGTCTCCTTGAGGTTGCCGTGGAGGAAGGCATTCTTCACATCGAGCTAGCGTATAGGCCAATCTCACGACGCAGAGATGCTGAGGACGGTGCAGATCGTGGACGGCTTGACGATGGGGCTGAATGTCTCGTCGTAGTCAACACCGGCCTCCTGGGAGAAACCGCGGACGACCCAGCGTGCCTTGTGCCGGGCGAGGGAGCCGTCGGAGTGGAGCTTGTGCTTGAACAACCACTTGCCAGTGACGATGTTCACACCAGGTGGCCGAGGTACGAGGCACCAAGTGCCGTTGTCGATCAGCGCCTTGTACTCTTCCGCCATTGCAGCGCGCCAATTGGGATCGGCGAGTGCACTGCGATAGTTCACCGGGACTGGCAAGGCGACGGAGGCAGAGAAGCCGTAGCGCTGGACGGTGCGGAGGCTACCAGTCTATGAGCGTGTCACAGGCCGGGCCACTGGTACTGCGGGTAGCACGCCTGGTGGCGCTGCTGGTGCTGCAGTCGCTGTTGGCACAGCAGCAAGGGCAACGGAGGCATCTGCAGGAGCCACCGACTTGGTGGCCGGCGCTGCAGGAGTCCGGGCACGGTGAGTGTAGACGGCACTGAAGCGCTGGCCTCCCAGCTGTGGCCCGCTCGTAGGAGGAGCAGCTGGAGTGTGCCCGCCCGTAGGCGTAGCTAGGGGGCCCAG